TAACTAATTTGTCTAATTAGCCTTGTTTTAACTAGCTTGGCTCTAACTAGCCTGGTTCTAACTAACTTGGCTCTAACTAGCCCGGTTTTAACTAATTTGTCTAATTAGCCTTGTTTTAACTAGCTTGGCTCTAACTAGCCTGGTTCTAACTAACTTGGCTCTAACTAGCCCGGTTTTAACTAATTTGTCTAATTAGCCTTGTTTTAACTAGCTTGGCTCTAACTAGCCTGGTTCTAACTAGTTTGGCTCTAACTAGCCTGGTTCTAACTAATCTGGTTCTAACAAACTTGGCTCTAATTAGCCTGGTTCTAACTAACTTGGCTCTAACTAGCCTGGTTTTAACTAATTTGTCTAATTAGCCTTGTTTTAACTAGCTTGGCTCTAACTAGCCTGGTTCTAACTAGTTTGGCTCTAACTAGCCTGGTTTTAACTAATTTGTCTAATTAGCCTTGTTTTAACTAGCTTGGCTCTAATTAGTCTGGTTCTAGTTAGCTCGTCTAACCGACTAATAACTAGTGTGGTTCTAACAAAATTAATTTTTTATACTGAAATAAATATATTATTATGACATGTTCTGTCATTGTGCGGGCTTGGGTTATTTGGTAAATAAATCTACGTCCAGTTCATGTAACGATAACGAATTAGTTTATGTCTTCAACAAAAAATTCCTATAGTAGCACTTTCAGTTGTTGGCCTATTTTCAAATACAATATTTCAAAAGAAACTCAAATACTTTGATCGCTAAACAAACACGTAACTAACTCACCAAGTAACTGAATAACAGAATAGATACGATAACTCTCACTGTTGGCACTGAATAACTCAATCAATCAATATTCACTAAATAACTGCTGAAATTACTAAATAGTTGGCACTGAACTAAGTCACGCATTACTGAACTCATATTTATAACGTACTCTTGTTTGTATATATTCCTCGAACTTTCTAGATGTAACGTCAACGTAATGACGAGCTCGCTCCAGCAAACATCTAAATTAAAACACATAGGTCGAAATAAAATCATTTCAAATCTGGAAAACAGTTTATTTTATTTTGTTAAAGCAGTACTAGCAGTTTCAATTGTTATTACTGTTAAAGTCTGCGTTCTATGTTGTTGGAAGAGAATCAGTTAGAGTGTGTGTGTTTTCTTTTGTAGCTTTCTTTAGATATAATTTAGGTTGACGATTATTTTATTGAGTAGAAATGGAGGTTCGAGTTTCTCTCAGGAAAGATTCTTGATTGTTGTTTATTGTTGAAGTGGAAGAGATGAATAACTTATATTGCTTGTTGAAGTGGAAGAGATGAATAATTTCTACTTGATTGTTGTTTATTGTTGAAGTGGAGGAGATGAATAACTTATACTTGATTATTGTTTATTGTTGAAGTGGAAGTGATGAATAACTTATACTTGATTATTGTTTATTGTTGAAGTGGAAGTGATGAATAACTTATACTTGATTGTTGAAGTGGAAGAGATGAATAACTTAAACTTGATTGT